GGACCGGCGACACTGCAGTCTGAAGTGGCAGGCCGCAGTGCAGAGCATCCGGGAGAAGATAACCACCGCCGTGCAGGACATGCCCGAGAGCGAGGAGCTGCGGGAGCTGCTGTCCGGCTCCTGTGAGTGACGGCCCGTGTGCCCTCCCGGACCTCGAGCACCATGAACAAGGGAAACTGACACGTATCTCCCCCAGCAGCGAGTGCTTATGTGTACAGTACCTGCATATTTAAATCTGTCACTTTGTATTGTCCTGTTGGAGAACAGAATAATACTGTGCAGAAAAAGGAAAATACTATTCTGATTGAATGTATAGCTTATTATTAATTAATTATTAGCTAAATGTATCCTTCCCTATGCTATGTTCCATTGACTTTTTTGTATTTATTTTGGCTTTGCTGAAATTTGTTTTCCCATTTCCATAACATCTCTTATTACTATTATTATTATTATTTTTCTTGTGTGGCCACCCAGTTTGTGTGGCTCTGCTCTCTGTAACTCACCTGTGGGGATCGAGGCAGTGTAGGCACGCTCCTCTGACCCCCCCCACCCCTTCCTTTGTCATGGGTTACAGCCTGCGGCAGTGCAGGGGGCGTCCCTGGGACGTCTCGGGGGTCACAGTGCTGTCGGAACCTCCCCGCGATGGAGAGACTTTGTGTCTCTAGTTTCCACAGCTGGCCCGTGCCCAAACCACTATGCCGGGTCACAGAACCGTTACTTGGCCAGAGAGTCACCCACAATGTCTTTTCTCCGTCTGGTTCCAGACATCCACTATTTCCACTGCCAGAGAATAGTGGAGATCCTGAAGGGCACAGAGGCATCTTCAAAGAACATATTTGGGAGATACTCGTCTCAGAGGATGAAGGTGAGGAAAAGAGCTTGTCCTGGTGGAATGGGCTTTTGTAACACGGCGCAGGATTTCCCTGCTTTCCGTTGGCTAACAGTAGACACATGCTCTGGGTGGATGCCGAGCAAATTCTTTTCCGGTGATACGGCCACCAGCCATATCACCCTGCAACTCCCAGCTGGCAGCCCACTGGAGCTCAGCAGGTGTGAGCCTGGTCAGTACCTGGATGGGAGACTCCTGGGAAAAACTAAGGTTGCTGCTGGAAGAGGTGTTAATGGGGCCAGCAGGAGGTGCTCACCCTGAGGTCCATGTGGGTCCTAATGCCGCAGCATAGTGATGGGGACACTATACTGTAAACAGGCGCCGTCCTTCGGATGAGACGTAAAACCGAGGTCCTGACTCTCTGTGGTCATTAAAAATCCCAGGGCGTTTCTCTAAAAGAGTAGGGGTGTAACCCTGGCGTCCTGGCCAAATTTCCCATTGGCCCTTACCTATCATGGCCTCCTAATAATCCCCATCTATGAATTGGCTTCATTACTCTGCTCTCCTCCCCACTGAGAGCTGATGTGTGGTGAGTGTTCTGGCGCACTATGGCTGCCGTCGCATCATCCAGGTGCACACTGGTGGTTGTGGTGAAGGGAGTCCCCATTACCTGTAAAGCGCTTTGAGTGGAGTGTCCAGAAAAGTGCTATATAAGTGTAAACAATTATTATTATGATTATAATTATGATTATGATTATTTTCTCTTTGTCTGCTGCAGGACTGGCAGGAGATCCTGTCTCTTTATGAAAAGGATAATGCCTATTTAGGTAAGGCCGAGCGTACTGGTGTGAGATTTCCAGAGGGGCCTGGCAAGGGGCAGTTTCCCTTACAAATACATTTATTCGTTTGGCAGAAGCCTTTATCAGAAGTGACTTAGAATCACCTCTGGGCGGTATGCAAGTGGTGCAGAACACGGTAGCAGTTACTGCTTATCTGTTCAGTCGCTCTGCAAAGCACTGGGCTCTTTACTTCATCAGCTGGGAATCATCACAGTAGCCATGAGCTGATATTTATACAAAACTAAGATGTTTTGGAGAGTTTCGGAATTGATGCCTTTTTTGAAAAAGCTGTTTCTGGGCCGCATGAAAATCAGACCAAATACATGAAGAGAAACAGCAGCCTGCCACTTTCCAAGACCTCAGCTGTTTGTAGTCTGTTCGTTCACTCTGAAATTTCTTGCTGCTACAAGTTGCTATGTACTGTGCAGGTCTGCAACACTGACCGTGTGCACCACTCCCAGTTGAACTCCTTCAGTGCCAACCTGCTGTGGCTTGGGCTGATTGTAATGTTGAACCCAGTTTTCATCTTATTTCGGTCCTTATTGTTAACTAGCACTCCGGGTAATATTTTTCACCATGATCAAAGATTCCATGCAAACCGTTGATCATATCATCACTGTAGTCCGTTACAGTAAACCCGTAGCTTAACGGACTACTAGGGAGTGTCTTAAATCATGACTGATGTTTTTTTCACCCCCAAAACCCACGATTACATAAGAAAAATATGTATAAAGTACTATGCGTAAGCTTTCTGGATCTTTTGAGTTATTTTTGGAACATTTTCCTGTGCTTTTTTATCATAAATATACAGTTTATTTTGTGGCATAAATATAGTGTATAAAATTAGCTAAAGCAAAGGAAACACAAACAACACCCATTGTAAGCAATTGACTGGTATTGTTGGTATCGTTGAGTTTTAAAATTCCTGAGAATTTGTTCTTACCTTGCTGTATTATGTGTGCGTTTCCCCTTTATGGTGAGGAAAGTCTGCTATTTCTGATTTTGCCCAGTAAATGCCAAGGCTGTTAAAGCAAGGGTTTACTATACTGCCCCCTGCCTGCCTGGAGCTGGGTCTGGGTTCCGGCGCTGAGGGCAGAAGCCACGCTGTGCCGCACTGACCGCTGTCCTCTCTCTCCCCGCCGGTGCCAGCGGAGCTGGCCAGCCTCCTGGTGCGCAGCGTGACCTACGAGGGGCCGGCGCTCAGGAGGCAGCTGGCCAAAGCCAAGCAGCTGCAGCAGGAGCTCAGCCGCAAGGAGCTGGAGTGTCAGAGCGGGGCAGCCGACCTCAGGGAGCGCTACTACTGCGCTTGCAGACAGTACGGCATCACGGTGAGGCCGCGGTCGCACCTCGGGCACGGTTCCTGTGGCAGCAGGCCAGCAGGCGTCGCGCGTGTGAAGGGATGGTGTGTGGAGTGGACGTGCACGAGAATCAAAGTGTGCACTTACACTTAGTAATCAGTGAGAGGTACAATTAGTCACGAGAGATCACTTCATTGGCCATGTACAATTTTCTTGTTTTAGGAATTTGTCTCTTCACAGACCCCAGCTTGCCCTCCGTGAGACACACAGACAGGGAGGGAAGCTGGGGGTCAGAGCGCAGGGTCAGCCATTTATACGGCGCCCCTGGAGCAGTTGGAGGTTAAAGGCCTTGCTCAGGGGCCCGAAGGAGTAGGATTCCGGCAACCTTGCAGCCACAGGCGCAGATCCTTCGCCACAGGGCCACCACAAAACCCAAAATTGTTTAAATCGTTAAAGTGCGGACCGCGGGCGGCCGGTGTGGACTGACTGTGTACTGACAGCATGCAGACCATCTGGAAAACCGGAGCATTCGGGCCCGGACTACCAGACTCGGAGACAGTTTTTCCCCCCGCACTATCAAACTGTTAAATTCCCAGCCTCTCTCACTCTCACCTCACCTCTCACCTATGATCTGAACCTCACAGTGCCTTCTTCCTTTCTTTCTTACCAAAAACCCAAACACACATCGAAAATCTCCCTCTACCATACATGTCACAAGCTCACTCCCCATAATTTCTATCCCTTTATTTTATTCTGTTGATGCAGATTTTTGCACATAACCTGTTACCTTTTTGTTGTTTTTTGCACATTGCCTGTTGTTGTTTTTTGCACATCGTCTGTTGTTGTTTTTTGCACATTGCCTGTTGTTGTTTTTTGCACATCGTCTGTTGTTGTTTTTTGCACACTGCCTGTTGTCTCTGTCTTTCTTTTGCTACACAATTGTATTGTTGTTGTTGTTGTTTTTTTCTCTTTGTACTACTTATGTCCGAGAGCTAGCTAAATAGCATTTCGTCATACCATATACCATGTATGTGGGTGTAATGACAATAAACTTGAAACTTGAACTTGAACTTGAACAGCGTGCTGCTTGCGCTGTCCTCAGGGACACGATGTGAAGAGGGAGCTGCAGGCGCTGGTGAAGGACCTGCCCTCTGGCCTGGGGCGGCTGGGCCAGGAGGCGGCCTGCCTGGAGGAGCCCATCCAGCTGTATGGCGCCTTCACACGCTTCGTCTGTGACTGGTGAGCCTGGCCGGAGCCCCACGGCGACCCCCCTCCCCCCCTCTCTCGCAGAGCCCCTTCCTGTCCCCCGTTCACCACCCCCTCCCTCTGCCCCCGGCAGGTCAGGCCCCCTCCTCCCCATGCTCACGTTCGCCCAGAAGCGGGGGAACGCCACGGCGTACGAGTGGAGGACAGGGGTCGCCCCCACAGTCGTGGAGAGAGCCCCAGTAGAAGATGCCCCCCCCGACACCGTCAGCGAGGAAACGGTGAGAACGTAGGGGGAGCGCCAGTCTTTCAGAGCTCGTTTGAGGGCGCGGCGCCCGGGAGCATCTGCAGCAGTGCTGTTGTGTGTGTTCCAGATCGACTGGGGTGACCTGGGCGGCGCAGGAGCTGACTTGGGGATCACAGTGGAGGACGGAGTGGACTGGGGCATCAGCCTGGAGCCCAGCGCAGATGTGAGTTGGGTCCTCCTGGTCTGGGGCAGCCGTGCCGGATGGGAGGGAGACGCCTGGGGTGATTTCTGTGAAACACAGGACTAGCGGACACAGGGGAGGGAGCGATGGCTGCTCACCCTCGCCTCACCCTCTGTCTTGCACTCGCACTGCTGGGCCTGAAACGGCGTAACATTCGGGGGCTTTACACAGAGGGTTGTGGGAGTCTGGAACAAGCTACCCCAGCCCTTTGTCAAAGCCGATACCCTGGCTTCTTTCAAAGAAAGACAGGGTGAGATTTTCAGGTCAGTTAGCTACGAGCAGCCAGACCACCTATATGGGCTGAATGTCTTCTCTTCTCAGAAAGAAACTGTGTTCTTATGTTCCTGCGTAGCCTTTTCTCTTTCTTTCACATTAGTTCCCCTCTGTTTTCACTCTGCCTTACTGCTTCTTCCTCTCTGTCTGTAGGAGGCTGACTGTGGTGGAATAGACTGGGGAGAGGAGACAGCCAGTCCAGTAGAGATTGAAGTCTTGGAAATGGGCACTGACTGTAAGTGCCCTGCTTTGAAGGAGACATTTTGATCTTTATCTGCATATTTCAAAATGTTAAAATGGCATATTTGTAAAGGGCATTTTCAGATTTCTGCTGAGAAACTTAAAACGGGTTATATTTATTTTTCCCACAAGGGGGCAGCATCTTTCATTTTGTTTTAGAGCTGGAGTACTGACGTCTTCCACCAGGTGGCAGTGCATTGCTTATTCTGCCCTGCCGTCAGTTGCCCTTGTGCTTGGGAGCTGAAGTGGGATGTGTGCCAGCCTGGCGCTGTGCCCTCCAAGTTTGTATTCAGGAGCCCTGCTGGTATCTGCAATGCTGCCAACTGGAACTTTTCAGCAATTAGGCCAACCTGGTTTTTGGCCTGGCTGTTAAAAGCCTCATGCAGAGATTTTAGACAGACACTTCTGGTTGGCTTACAGACTGGTGCATTGCAAGATTTGGCCTGAGTTTCAGCAGAGAGCTGCAAGATGCCATTGCAAAAAGGAAAGCAGAATCCCTGTGGATGCAGAGACCCTTATGCTGTCTCCTCTAAATTGTACAGCTCAGTGAAGAATGCATGAGCACACAGAGCACTCAGTTAGTCAGCAAGAGGATATTGTATCTCCCCCCTGTCGGCACTGCCCCCAGCACAGTAGACATCTTGCAAAACCCCCTTCACTCCTGGTGCAGAGCAGGCCCGGGTCTCCCACCAGCGGGTTGTTAGAATTGAAATGAATCTGTCGTTACGGCTAAGTGAAATTAATTAATCAGTATCAAACAGCCTGGCCTCTGGTTTGTCCCAGCGCCATAGGAAATGGAAGCTCTGTGTGTCTGCAGGTTCGTGCCTCTGCCCAGGGGTTGTGTGTGGTGTGTGTGTGGTGTGTGTGTGGTGTGTGTGTGGTGTGTGTGTGGTGTGTGTGTGTGTGTTTCGGGGTTTTCACAGGCCTGGATCCTCTGTCAGTCCAATGGCATTCATCCTCGGTGTGTGTGTGTGTTTCGGGGTGGGGTGTTCCCAGGTCCTGACGGAGTCGCTAGGGGGGAGGACGCTCTCACTCTCTTGGAGAACCCCCAAACCCGGAGCCAGTTCATCAACGAGCTCATGGAGGTACAGTGACTCCCCTTCTCGGTGTGGACCCCAAAACACAGCAATATGAATAATACTGTATTAATACTTACTCCAGTTAAGTCATTATACAACGTATTTCCCTGTATTTAGTATAAATCTAAGAGCCTTATTAGACAGTTATTTGTAAAATACCTAAACAGTCATCTGAGATTCAAATCATTGTTTCATTTGCATTTTCTTCAGACTGTGTCCTGATTTTTAGAGAAGCGCTGAATGAGATGGCCCTATTTGCACTATGCCAGTGGCATAGAAGCCAGCAAAACACATGAAATCATTCATTTTAAAAACCCCAGTCATCGTTCCTGGAAATCATCCATTTGCTTGAACTGAGAACTGAGAGCGGGTTTCATACTGGAAATTAAAAGGGAGGATTGTGTGTTTTCCCTCAGTTTTGAGCTTGTATTTTGCTAAATGGCCTCCCGAACCCCGTGTTTTTGAGCGCGAAGAAACAGTGTTCGCTGGAATTAAGAAGTGAGACTGTTTACAACATCTGTGCGTCGCATCTGGTAGAAATATGTTTAATGGAATAATTACCAACAGCTTGGGCTCGCAAATACAAACGTGCATTCTGTAAGTGCAGAGCATGGAGTCTCCAGCAGGCTTGTGCTTGTGCAGAAGCAGGAAGGAGGCCGTGTGCTTCGCGGTCACCGCGTTGCTAAGGGAGCCCTTCTCCCCGTGCAGCTGGAGCTCTTCCTGGTGCAGAGGCTGACCGAGATGAGCGAGGAAGGGGACGTCCTGGCCATGAGCCAGTTCCAGCAGGCACCCCCTGTCATCCAGGCCCAGACCCGGGACAAAGTCCAGGCCATGCTGAGCCAGGTGCGCTCCATGCTGGAGCAGCTGACCAACCTGCGCATGCAGCACCTCTTCACCATCCAGGCGTCGCCAAGGTGAGGGCCGCTGGGGGGCAGCCAGGGTGTGGCGGGGTCATAGGTCAGACAGCACTTTCACCCAACTTACCCAAAGGGCAGCTTTTGCTACAGCAGGGGGTAGAAAAGGGGTGGTTTCTGAATACGATCAGCCTGACTGACTGATAAACAGACCTTCAGACATATTGTAAGTATTAGTAACCCTGCATGTGAAACGATTTTATTTCAATCACGAATCCCTTGAGCAAATGACCATCTAGAATACTTTGTAAACAAGGGTGCAGATTTGACATGGTAAAAATGGAACACGTGATCTCAGAGATCAAGAGTTAGAGTTAAATTAGAGAATGACCTGGTCTCGCTGGTGCTTGAAAGGAAGCCGGTATAGAGAAAACGTGTTGGTTTTTTTCCTTGGCTGTGTCTGCCTGCTGACAGCGTTAACAGCTCTGGCCCAGTGCCTCAGTAGCCGGCCTGTGAAAGACCTTCGCTTTCACGAATCAACACGGCTGTGGATCCTGTGGCAGGAGAGGGGGTACGGGGCCTGGCGGACCGAGGGACAGCAGGGGGAGCTGGCGGCTGAGCGCGTGCGGGGTGAAACCGTGGTGCTGTGGCTCAGGATCTGTGTGTGTGGCTGTGGGAGGTTGCCGGTTCAAATCCCGCAGCTGGCAGAGGAATCCTACTCCGTTGGGCCCCTGAGCAAGACCTTTAACCCCAGCTGCTCCAGGGGCGCTGTACAATGGCTGACCCTGCGCTCTGACCCCCAGCTTCTCTCGCTGTCTGTGTGTCTCATGGAGAGCGAGCTGGGGTCTGCGAATAGACGAATTCCTAATGCAAGGAGATCTTATCTTATCTCATGTCTCTGTGTGTGTGTGCGTGCGTGTGTGTGCGCGGCAGGTACGTGGAGCGCGTGACCGAGCTCCTGCGGCAGAAGCTGAAGCAGGCGGAGATCCTGGCGGCGAAGCAGCGTCTGCAGGAGGAGCAGCGGGAGGAGGCCCTGGCGGAGCAGGCAAGGCTGGAGCCCAAGATCGACCTGCTGGCCCAGAGGACCCGCGAGCTGCAGAGGCTGGTACCGTGGCCCCCTTCCTTGCCCTGCGCGTGGTATTTACAGGACTCTCCGGGCTTCTGAGTTAGCTTTACCCGCCACAGGAGAGGCACAGCGTGGGGCGTGAACCCGCAAACCCCGGGCCTCGCCTCCAGCTGAGCCACCTGCTTCTTTCACAACGGTTTCAGTTACTTCTTAATATAAGAAAAGCCACCTGAGTTTTTATTTACCCGAACAGGTATGTTTAATGTTGCTGTTAATGTTGAATAGGTATGTTTTGGCTTCCTTGGTGTGTGTGTGTGTGTGTGTGTGTGTGTGTGTGTGTGTGTGTGTGCAGTTAGTAATAAAGAATCCCTGCAGCTCCTTCTCATTTTCCAGATCGAAGCCGACATCTCCAAGCGATACAACGACAGGCCTGTAAACATGATGGGAGTCACCGTGTGAGAGTCCGTCCCGTGCAGAAGACCACCAGCCCCCTCTCTTTGACAGTAAATAAAGTATATTGTGTTTTGATGAAAAGGTTCTGTGCGATGCTGTTGTTAATCAGCATCCCCCCCCCCCCAACTAAAACACACACTGCAAAGAGCCTGTGCTGTAGCCAGCAGTAAAATGAAAATTAATGCATTGTTTTTACTGGTGTCTCCAGGCACCGCTGCTGCAAATTAAACCCGCTCTCTTGAATAATTTAGTCAAGTCGTGTCTTTGCATGGAGCTCAGGTGGCTAAAAATTGGTTAAATGAAGTTAAAAAACAATTGAAAAAAACACAAAAGCTGGTAGCGCACAGGGACCAGGAGTAATTACACCATGAATCTGCCCTTCTGACCACGAGCCAGGTCCCTCCAGTGTCTCTCCTCCACCCTGCCAGGCCTGTGGCATTTTCCTCTCCCTCCTGCACCCTGCACCCATTCCGGGTCAGTGAAGGTGCCGCTGCGAGTCTGTCAGAGCTGTTGTGCGTTTGCAGGGCCTGGCGCTTGTGTCCTTGAAGTGCAGCTCGGGCCTCTCCGTGGGCTGCCGAGCCCTCCCCCGGCGAGACGCGTTAAGGGCGCGTGGGTCCGAAGGGGGGGGGGAGGGGGGGGTCCGTCTTTCCCCGACTCCGGAAATCCGTTTCGGCCGGGTTCAAGTCTCTGGCCTGGCGTGGTGCCTCCGGGCTGCTGGCACGCAGAGGGGGGGAAAATCACACACACACACACACTCGCAGTGCCATCCAGCTGCCAGCTGGCCCGCAGAGCTGCTCCGATTAATACAGCGGGCGCCATTTCATTAGGAGCGCCGGCGCGAATCCCATCTCCACACAGCCGGAGTTTGGCCATTTGCATAAATCCAATCTCTTAATGTTTAGCTCCCAGCTCCCTGACAGTCATTCCAGAGCTCTGGCGGCTAGATCAGTGGAGCCTCTTTTAAACCGAAACCCCCGTTCAGCCTCGCGCCTTGATTTTATTGGCCTGCAGTTCTGCTTCCCTCTGCTTACACGCCGCCCAGGGACTGAGAGGCATCTTTTTCTATCGGTGCCTCTGCAGCCATTAAGTGCGGTAAATACTGTTCAAGTATTATTATCCGTTGTTCTTGCCTCTGCTGCGTTTATTGACGTCTCTGTCACCCTGGCACGTTGCACTGACAGTGTTCACACACACACACACACACACACACACACACACACACACACTCTGGCCCAGTAGACACACTCTGACATCCTGCTGATGAAAGTACTGATGATTTGGGACAATGGGAACCCAGACCCCAGATCCTTCTGTTTCTCAAAAAAGCAATAGAGCAACATTCATTCACTGGCCATGCATACTTAAGACTCAGGTGGATTTTCTGTGAGGGTCAGTAAAAAGACTTTCTTAGCACCAGACTTGAAACCATGCTTCTGGAGAACTCGTATTTGGAAGGGAGGTGATAAAAAGGAGTGTTTCCAATTGCAGATTGAAGTGTCCTAGAGCTTCACCTATTTCTGTAGCTGGGTGGGGTTTGTAGACCTGGATTTCCAATGCGGTGTCGGACATTTAGTGAACGGTGATGCTGTGCTGCAGGAGGTACTGTCCTTCAGATGAGAGTCAACGCCGTAGTCTTGGCTAGTTGGTCATTAAACGTCCCGTGGTGCTTTCAGAGGAGTTGATGGCTTCACTGCAGTGGGGTGAGTGCACATGAAGGGACCCTTCCTAGATGTGAAGTACTATGCGATCCTTTGGGATGCAAAAGAGCTACATTGATGCAATTAGTTACTGTTGACTGGAATAACCTGAGTGAAGTACCTTGCTCTAGGGTACAACGGCAGTGTCCCACCTGGTTTTTGACCCAGTGGTGCAGGCAGAAGAGTGCCACCTGCTGGTCACCTTATTTAACTGCAGCCCACCCTGTATGACTTGGCAGGATGGAGCTGTTGAATTTCCTCATGTGTAGGTGCGTGTTTGGCACAGCAGGGGGCAGAAGAGAGCAGTTGTAGAAAAGGCAGCCAGCCTCAGATCTTGTATATTTAATCTCAGCAAACACCCGCTGTTTAGTATTTTTTTTCCCCGATGAAGTGCGCCGATAGTTAAGTCTGCAACTTAATCTGTTCTGTCAGAAGGTAGAGTCTGTTCACATAAAGGTAAATATTTCTCATTTGCAATAATAATAAGATGGTAAGAGTACGTGTACTTGCAGCACATTAAACTCCTCAGTAACAGTTACATTTCTCACCCCAGGATGAGTCCTTGTCACTTTTATCTCCCCTCGCTGAAAAGGGGACAACTATCACACCGAACACAGGAACTTAGAGAAGCCATTCAACCCATCTAATAATAAGAAGAAGAATTGATCACACTTATATAGCGCTTTTCTGGACACTCCATTCAAAGCGCTTTACAGGTAATGGGGATCCCCTCCAGCCCCACCTGGATGATGCGCCAGTACTCTCCCCAACACAACAGCTCTCAGTGGGGAGGAGAGCAGAGTGATGAAGTTCATAGATGGGGATTATTAGGAGGCCATGATTGGTAAGGGCCAATGGGAAATTTGGCCAGGACTCCAGGGTTTCAC